CCAGAAGTGGAAAATTTTTTGTTTGACCTTGTTTAATTCTTTCAAAAATCTTTGAGGAAATTTTTGATATCCTATTAATTGAAAAAATAATTGACAGATTAATCGATTAGTAAAATAATGATTAGATACAGCGCTAAATACGAGTTCTATTCAAGGATGAAAAGCAAATCTGCTAGAAGAACAGTTTGGTATCAACAAGACCACAGATCCAGGTCTTGTCAGCAGCTGAGCTCTATTCTAGGGGCACCTTGCTAAATGAATGAGCTATCTTGATTTTTTTTTTCCTGTGGGATCAAAAGAAGTACCTACCTGCCAACCATTAGCAGGCTGTGCTGATTGGAAACGATGGAAACTTAAAAACTGGTGCATGACATTCACAGCTTCTCTGTCTACTGCTATACAAAGATGCTGCAACCTGACTGCTGCATTAAAAATGAGTGAGGCCCCAAAAATGAAACAGCTGAACAGAAAACAAAGATACAACACAGTAAAAATCATGTCATTGTTTTTTTTTAGTTTTTTTTTTTAGGTGTTGAGTCCTAAATCTTTCTGTTGGGCCGAAATAAATGTGTGCAATAAAACAAAACTATAATTTAAACATTTTACGCTGTTCTCAAAACCAAAACAAAACAAAACCAACCTGAATGTTCGGCTCGGGTACACACATTTATGATGATCCAATTAAATGAGTTCAAAATAATTTTAGACCCTTTTTAAAGTATAAATAAAACATATAATTTATGTTTGTGACTGGACTCACAACACTGAGGCTCTGTATAAGAAAGGTCATAGCAGACTCTTCCTGCTGATGAGACTGAGGTCTTTTGCAGTGTAGGGGGCACTCCTAAAGACCTTCTATACTCTACTGTGTCAGCCATCTTCTATGGAGCTATATGTTGGAGCAGTGGCTTATCTGTAGCTGAGAGAAGGCCGCTGGATAAGTTGATCAGGAAGGTCAGCTCTGTGATTGGATGCCCTTTGGACTCAGTGCAGGAGGTAAGAAACAAAAGGATCATAACTAAAATAACATCTCTGTTGGATAATGTCTCCCATCTCATGCATGAAGCTGTTGCAGAACTGGAGAGCTCCTTCAGTGCCAGACTGCTGCACCCTAAATGCACCAGGGAGCGTTATCACAGATCCTTCCTCCCAGAAGCTTTAAGACTTTATAACCATCAGTTCCCAACAACCTTCACTGCATGAAAAGTGGGATTTTCGTCAATATGCGGCACTGTAGATTGTCGTGGAACTTCAGGTTAGCGGCAGTTTACGACAATTTGCAGGCTTCGCCGAAAACTCCCGTAAATTGTCAGAAATTGACGTGGACTCTCTTAGGCAGTGTTCCCCCCATGCCTCCCCCCCATGGAATTCTAGGGGAGGCTTTAACATGTAAATGAACATGCTGTGAGCTATACAAATGCAAACCAGGGTTGCAGGGGGGGGTTTTACCCCAAGTGACATCTTTCTGGGTAAGAAAATCTCTGATACAAAGAGATCAGGCTTAGTATAGCCTCTCACATTTTAGCTTGAATTGATTTATTTAATTAAAGTATAGAGACCAAAACAGATCTTTAGCTGACAGAGCAATACATTTAGAGCAGTAATTATAAAAAAAAAAAATTGCATTTAAGATAAAAAATAAAATGTTGTCTGTCAATATGCTCAATTCACAATTACTTAAGTGGAAAAGTTTCAAGAAATGAGTCTGAGATGATTCACTTTATAACATGGCGCATTATCCTGTTGGAAGTAGCCATCAGAAGATTGGTACACTGTGGTCATAAGGTCCGGCCAGGTCAAGATCCGCAATTGCAATCGCACCAAACAGGAAAAAGAACATCGACAAATTCCGGTTCGTCAAATTAAAATATAGCAGCAACAGATCGGTGACTAGAAATTATAGCACAATTCTTATATATATATAAAAAAATCTAACACCGTTTATTTAAATGATTGGATCCAAACTATTGGTTATTCACCAACGAGGAAGCAGATTTCTCATCTCCATCAAAATATTTATTTTATACCGAGGGACTTAAACTTTAATCAAATCCATTCAAAAGAAACTTCTTATTACAGGAATGAAAAGAGATGCTGAGTTTGGAAGTAGTGAACAAGTTCATTAAAAAAAAAGCAGTTTTGAATTATCCTTATCCCCGTTACAAAAATCTACAAAAATATATATATATTTGGGCAGAAACTGAACATATGCTGGATGATGGTGGGATTTTTTTAATATGTCATATTAAATTAAGCGCTCACAGGGTTCAAACAGGAATGAGTGACTCTAATTTAATGCTATTTTAATGCTTTTTGAAATGATTTTAATGCCATCAACAAGAACCATGTACACAAGTTATTAGTGTACATGAAATATGAAGGAGCTGCAAGCAGAGTTCCATGACTCCTGTATGTATGTAAACACACACACATACACATATATACGTATATATATATCCTCTAGCTTTTTCTCCGCCTGGAGCGATATAATATATCTGACGAAATTGTTTTTATAAGCATTTTTTATTAAAGAATTATAAATACTTCGATAAACATATTTAAATAATTTTAGTGCCAATTAAGGCCTTGATAAAAAAAAAAAAAAAGAATGATTTTTTTATTATTTTTATTGATCCGCGGACACCCTGGTTCATCTCGCGCATGCTCTGTACGATCTCCAAGAAACTCAGAGCGGCGGGGCTGGATCCACAGTGGAGGATGGATGCTTTGCTTTGTGCAGGCGGTCAGGAGCGGATAATGGGGGATTTCGGGGTAAAACTCCTCTTGGACGCGATGGCAACTCTGCATCGAACAAGACGAACTCAAAGAAGAGATGCTAGCGGTAAATATATGTTCGATTACTGCCTGCTAAGCTAAAAGCGGCCTAGCCTGAGCTACGGCTAATAGCGACTAATAGTAGCCTTGCAAGAACAAGCTTTATTAAAGTGTATTTTTTGTGATTTACAGGAAGCAGTACGCCGTCTTCACAACTCGGAGACTAATTGCAGGCGCTATGAACCGGAGCAAGGGTAAGATTTAAAGAATATGCTTTCATTCTGCGGTAAAAGGAAATGGATACCGATCATAGCTTTACATTTTGTTTTCACAGGCCTCCTATTTGCTCGGAGCCATCTCGGCAAGTCCAGATTTGCATGATGTTGATAAAGACGACATTGTGTGTAAGTGACTTGTTTTAATGTTTTCTCCTTCCTTGTTACTGTGACTTGCGTTTGATTTTTTATTTATACCGCTCTCATTTAATTGTTTTCCAGCTGCCTGTAAGACGTATTTTGAGACGGTACGCAGGAGCTTCAGATATACGCAAGCCAACACGCTGCGTGCGGAGGCTATCTGCTCGGAGTCGGGCCAGAAGAAAGAGGGTAAGACTTTATTTGGTGACTATTTTTCAGGTGCATTGATAGATGTGTTGTGTCCATACGCAGTGCGCTGATTCATTGTTTTTTTTCCGGCTGTGTCTCTGGATGGATTGTACGGTCGCCGCCATTTCGTAGGCCGGATCCCTCTGAACTCTGTGTTAAGCTGCAGTCCCGGTTAGAAGCGATGCCGAAGTACAGGGCCACGCACAGTAGGCGTCTGCACATCGGACCTGCCTCGGAGGGAATGCTGCCAGTTACCTCCAACCCCGAGGAAGCAAACGGACCGTTCACTGACTTTTAATTTTTAGAAACGCATGTGTTTGGATACGCGTTGTATATAGTTGTGTGTGTGTGTGTGTTTCAATAATGCTCTTTCTTTGCATAAAAAGCTTCCTGGCAAATCTTCATTTCCTGTATAAATTCATTCATGTCCTTGATGGTAGCATAATAATTGTGTAGTAGTGTAGGATAACATAAATACACACCATATGAATGAATAAATATATGAATGAATAAATATATGAATGAATAAATAAATATATATATATATGAATAAATATATATATGTAAATTTTTATGTAAATATATATATATGCCAACCAATCACGAGCGACTTTACTTGTTTAAAAAGAAGTGGTTCCGTCCAATACTCAGTAAGAAAATTAAAGCCTGGCGTGGCCACGTGTGGTTTTGCTGCCAATCACGAGCGATTTTACTTGTTTGAGAATAGTGGTTTCAGCCAATACTGAGAAGGTTATTCAAGCCAGACCTGGCCAGCCGCGCAGGCTTGCTGTATTCATATGCTAATTAGGGCCATTAGTACAGCTGATCGCTCTCCACATACGTCATGGTACGTTTCCGACAATTTGTGGCACGACAAACGCGGACAAGCACGGGTTGCAAATTGTCGGAAACTGACGAAAATCAGGCAGATCTGCGGGAGTTTAAGGGGGTTTACGGGGACGAAAATCTCACTTTTCATGCAGTGCTTAATAAGTTGTTACATTCATGCTGATTTTGCACATTTAGTCAGTTAAATAACAAACTGCTTTCATTTGTCACATCTCTGATGTTGCTGCTATTTTCAAATATCCATTACTGTAAAAATGTCCATAGCTGTAAATGGGTACTCCAGGTGCACAGTTTTATATTGTTGAAACACTGTACACTGCAGTATTTTATTGTTTATCTTTTAACTCTTCACTATTATGTTATTCTAATATATTTTTCTAAGGTCAACATTGTCTGACAATTTTTCTATAAAGTTTTTGCAGCTGTAAACACCAGAATTTACCCATTGTGGGACAATAAAGGGATTTTCTATTTGATCTATTCTTTTATATTTAACGATTTAAATAGCACATTCAAACGCTCCTAACGGAGATATGGCACCTTAAGTCAGAAATACAGTAAAAAAATCTTTTCTGAATGTGCAAAACCGTTAAAACGTAAAAAAACAAATATCCGTACCTCTGATTTCACCAGCTTAAACCATTTATTTAATAAGCTCTTCTTCTCCCGGATGTTTGGGATTTTCCTACACAACTGCGCATGCGTTGTGTGTATTTGTTGCCGGGCAACGAAAGATGAGTTCAAGCCATTGGAGGAAACTTTTTTAGCCCGCCTATTCTACGCCATGATTGGCTGAAAGGATACGTTTCCGGTATTTGCTGCCTCCTATTGGCAGTCGGTCGTGTCAGTTGGAAGTACAACCGTTTGTGGACATCTTTAGCAAACACAACGCCGAAGTTTTTTCCGCTGTGTTTTTTTGCTTTTCAAATGGTAAAACTGCGCAAAATTATTAACTCTATTATGTTTGTGATATTTATTGTATTTTTCATTCACTTTAGCCTGAATGTTTTTGTTCCTGTCTCGTTTTGATTAGCTAAATGGAAGCTTATGCTAGCCCACACGATGGTGGCTTAATAAACTAAGCTAATTTTGCGGTGGTTCTGTAATTATCTGTCTGTTTCTCTTTGTTAAGGCTTCAAACTACCGAAAACCAGCTTCCTCTGCGAGCCAAAAGAAAAAGACAAACTCAAAAACGGAGCTGATCGAAGAGCAGAAACAGGAGATCAAGGAAGCTTTTGATTTGTTTGACACAGATGGAACTGGGACGATAGACGTGAAAGAACTCAAGGTGGGTTTCTGTACATGATGAATGCCTGAAGTATGCACAGAACCTGGGTTTAATTGGCTGTTTATATTTGCTACAGGTTGCCATGAGAGCCCTGGGGTTTGAACCAAAAAAAGAGGAAATCAAGAAGATGGTTGCAGAGTTTGTGAAAGATAACTCTGGAATTATTGATTTTGATGACTTTCTCAGTATGATGACTCAGAAAATGGTGAGTGTGAAGCAATGAGAAAAGTACTGATTTATTCAGTTTCGGTAGATAAATAGATAAATCAACCTTTTTCTTTTCATGCTCATTCAGTGAAGAAAAACATTTTTTTTTTTAAGAAACCAGCAATGTAAAGGTTATTCTGAAGTAAAAATAATAAAGGTGTTTAAACCATATTATATAGTATAGATTTAATTGAACTAGTATAAATGTGAGGCAACTGACGTTTATTTCCACGGATGTTTGGCTCACCACCACATGCTGAGTGCAGGATGTTAATCAGGGGTTGGAAAACAACAAAACCATTGCTTTTGGCATCAGCTGACAGACATTGACTTCCAATCCTGAGGTTGTTGGTTCTAGACCCAACTTAGACTAGTGGTTAGGGCATTGCGCTTGGATCCAAGAGGTTCTGAGTTCAAGCCCCACCCCCATGGACTGCCACTCTGGGTCCCTGAGCAAGACCCTTAAACCCCACACTGCTCCCCGGGCGCCACACAATGGCTGCCCACTGCTCCCCAAGGGAATCGGCTCAATGCAGAGAGTTTATTTCATTGCATTGTAGTTGTGAGAGTAATGAGAATAAAACGTTGAATTCTAAACTATTCTTAAATTATTATTTGCCAGCTTATGAGAGTGTCGTTGTCATGAACTCTGAAATACCAGGCAATATTCAATAACAACCTGGTACCTTTAAAAAGAAAACAACTAAGTTAAATTTAGTTCTTTAAGTTGGATAATGTTAAAAATTGGTCTGGACGATAACAGGAAAGCATTCAGTGGCAATGTTTTTGCTAAATATTACAGTGAATATATTAGTTTAAAGACATTTTAATTGTCCTAATCTTCTTGTTCCATCTGTCAGTACTGAAGTGTTCTTTCTTTGTGACCCTTAGCATCTTAGACATTGGTATTTGAGCTACATGTGTTTGTGTACTGCTGTAAAACTAAATTCAATCTGTTACTGGTATGTAAGGTAGGAAGTGACAAAAAGGAGATATAATTTCCTTCACTTATTGCATTAAATACACTATTTTTCTTTATGTCAAAGTTTTCCAGAGCGTTAAATCCAAAATGTTCCTCTGACACACAGTCATGTCCATCCCAGTTCCCAGCCTTCAGTTTTATGGAAAACCTTTAAACTGAACACTGTTTTTTTTTTTCTGTGGTAAAGAGAAATTGTGAAATCTGCAACGCATTAAATATTTCTGATATACAAAGACATGTAACCTGCACCGTACCTTCATTTGGGATTAAAAAAGCAAAAAAAAAATATGTGCATGTGAAAACTGTAAATGGCAAAAACATGTAAAAATGTATGTACATACACATTCTTTTTTTAAATTTATTTATTTCTATCCATCCATCCATCCATCCATCCATCTTCCTCCGCTTATCCGGGGTCGGGTCGCGGGGGCAGCAGCTTCAGAAGGGAGGCCCAGACTTCCCTCTCCCCAGCCACTTCTTCCAGCTCTTCAGGAGGAACCCCAAGGCGTTCCCAGGCCAGCCGAGAATCATAGTCTCTCCAGCGTGTCCTGGGTCTTCCCCGGGGCCTCCCCCCTGTGGGACATGCCCGGAACACCTCACCAGGGAGGCGTCCAGGAGGCATCCTAAACAGATGCCCAAGCCACCTCAACTGGCTCCTCTCGACGTGGAGGAGCAGCGGCTCTACTCCGAGTCCCTCCCGGATGACCGAGCTTCTCACCCTATCTCTAAGGGAGAGCCCAGCCACCCTACGGAGGAAACCCATTTCGGCCGCTTGTATCCGCGATCTCGTTTCTTTCTGTCATGACCCAGAGTTCATGACCATAGATGAGGGTAGGAACGTAGATCGACCGGTAAATCGAGAGCTTCGCTTTTTGACTCAGCTCTCTCTTCACCACGACGGACCCGGTACAGCGCCCGCTTCACGGCAGACGCTGCACCAATCCGCCTGTCGACCTCCCGCTCCCTTCTTCCCTCATTCGTGAACAAGATCCCAAGATACTTAAACTCCTCCACTTGGGGCAGGACACCCCCCTTGACCCGGAGAAGGCACTCTACCCTTTTCCGGCTCAAGACCATGGCCTCGGATTTGGAGGCACTGATCCCCATCCCAGCCGCTTCACACTCAGCTGCGAACCGATCCAGCGAGAGCTGCAGATCACGACCTGATGAGGCCAATAGGGCCACATCATCTGCAAAAAGCAGAGACGCAATCCTAAGGCCACCAAAACGGATCCCCTCAACACCTTGGCTGCGCCTAGAAATTCTGTCCATGAAGGTAATGAACAGAATCGGTGACAAAGGGCAGCCCTGGCGGAGTCCAACTCTCACTGGAAACGAGCCCGACTTACTGCCGGCAATGCGGACCAGACTCTGACACCGGTCATACAGGGACCTGACAGCCCGTACTCCCGGAGAACCCCCCACAGGGCCCCCCGAGGGACACGGTCGAACGCCTTCTCCAAGTCCACAAAGCACATGTAGACTGGTTGGGCGAACTCCCATGCACCCTCCAGGACCCTGCTGAGGGTGTAGAGCTGGTCCAGCGTTCCACGACCAGGACGGAAACCACATTGCTCTTCCTGAATCCGAGGTTCGACTATCCGACGGACCCTCCTCTCCAGCACCCCCGAATAGACCTTGCCGGGGAGGCTTAAGAGTGTGACTCCCCTGTAATTGGAGCACACCCTCCGGTCCCCTTTTTTGAATAGGGGGACCACCACCCCAGTCTGCCAATCCAGGGGGACTGCCCCCGATGTCCATGCAATGTTGCAGAGTCGTGTCAGCCAACACAACCCTACAACATCCAGGACCTTCAGGAACTCCGGGCGGATCTCATCCACCCCCGGGGCCCTGCCACCGAGGAGCTTTTTAACCACCTCGGCGACCTCGCCCACAGAGATTGGAGAGCCCAGTCCAGAGTCCCCAGGCCCAGCTTCCTCAATGGAAGACATGTTGGTGGGATTGAGGAGGTCTTCGAAGTATTCCGCCCACCGACCCACAACGTCCCGAGTCGAGGTCGGCAGCACACCATCCCCACTATAAACAGTGTTGGTGCTGCACCGCTTCCCCCTCCTGAGACGCCGGATGGCGGACCAGAATCGCTTCGGAGCCGTGCGGAAGTCTTTCTCCATGGCCTCTCCAAACTCCTCCCACACCCGAGTTTTTGCCTCAGCAACCATCCGAGCCGCATGCCGCTTCGCCCGCCGGTACCCATCAGCTGATTCCGGAGTCCCACAGGTCAAAAAGGCCCGATAGGCCTCCTTCTTCAACCTGACAGCATCCCTCACCGGAGGTGTCCACCAACGGGTTCGAGGGTTGCCGCCACGACTATTTATTTCTAATATTTTTTAAATCATCCTAAACGGAAGCTGTTGCATGTGAAGAGTTGGTTCCTAATTACTGCTTTAAGTTGGTTATTTTTCCAAAAGGATGATTTTCTTGATTTTCTTCCTGCCCTAAAAGATTTATGCAAATAACCAAGACAACATCACTGTTGGTTAGAAAGAGACATTGACACTCCTCTGGGATATTTGTTCCAGCTGACCAACAACTTCTTGGCATCAGTGTCTCATTAAATAAAGTCATTTACACATTTTTCTTCTACATTGTTTGTACAAAGTCTAGACGGTTTTGTCCATCTGCAGCAATATTGTAATGTAAACCAAATCCATAATAATTCAGGTAAATAAACCTATATCTAGTAAAAACACACACTATGTGATGTGCAATTAATGTTCGAAATCTTTTCCTGTGCTTCATAAAAAGATGTACAGTTATTGAATGAAATTACACTCTATTCAATAAAGCAAATTCATTCACGGTTTACCTATATATATATATATATATATATAACATTAGAATTACTGTTTCTGATTAGCTTTGATACTTGGCTTCTCTCTTCACTTTTCATTCGTATGTGTATCTAAACTTAGTTTATAATTCATTATAATCTGTATTATTTATTGGAGCAGTTCCATGTAGCTGGAATTAAAAACAGCTCAGGAATACCTGTTGAATACCTGTTAACCAGTTCCAAAGAACGCAGCGTAGTGAGAAGTTGAGACGTCAGTAGCGAGACACGGTTCCTTCTGGTTTCCCTCAATTAATCTAAGTCAGCTAATAAACCACACACCATCCTGTGTCCTCAGATCAGTTGGATCTCTGAACAATCGCGCCTCATTCTTCCACCCTCCTTCAGTAGTTTAACAGCTGAGATCCTTTCAAAGCTGCCAGATTAATATTTAACACGTAAAGCGTAAATTAATGAAAGACCTTTAGGTTTGATGCTCCTTGAATAAATAAAACTAAACAGAGTCATGTTTAAGTGTGTTTAGGAGAGCATTATGCTATTTCGTAGAGAAAAAAAAAAGAATCTACTGGCAAAGTTGAAAAGTTTGCATGAATCTCTGCACTTTTTAACACAACTTTGATTTCATCCAAACTGAGTTGTGCTTAAAATGTGGCTGGGAATGTTTTTAGTGTGTACGCCTGCTTTGCACTCTAGACCCAAAGAGTCTGGCTGATCTGAATAGATTTTCCTTTGATATTGTGAAACATAGAAGAAGACTAAAGGCTGTTCATTTATCAGAGGTAGCAGGGGAGCTAATAATAGACCCATCTTTGATTTTATTGAAAAATTCTTCTCATGTTTTTAACCCTAATGAGAACATGTAAAAGATGACAGATCCTCCGGATGGGTTTAAGTGATTTTTATTTTTTACAAATCTACCAGCAAAGAAAAACATAACATATTACCCAACAGTTCTGTTCAACATGCACTATTAATGATTGTTGTATGTTGTGGGGTTATGTATAAGATAATATTCTCAGTGGATGATTTAGGGCCCTGAAGAGCAGTTTTAACTTGTTTAGAAGTAACATCATTAAATTTCCTTATCCCATGTTTCCTGTCTCCTGATAGAATGAGAAGGATGGCACAGAGGAAATAATGAAGGCCTTCCGGCTGTTCGATGATGACTGCACGGGAAAAATCTCTTTCAAAAATCTCAAGAGAGTTGCCAAGGAGCTGGGAGAAACCCTCACGGATGAAGAGCTGAAGGTATTATCCATGTTTGTTTATTTTTCTGCTCAATGTTCATTTATTCTTTCAAGAATTTATTATTCTTTAGCTTCAAATTGCTGCATTGCAAAAAAAAAACAAAAACAAACAAACAAAGCAAAAACCAACCCATAAGCAATTTGGATGTAAATTAAACATATGTGAAGTTCAAACAAAAGGGATATTAGATCACTGAAATAAGAGTATATTCTCAAGATGTTAATGGGTAAATAATCTAAGTGAAAGACAAGACATCTCAACAACTAATCAGATTCAGAGAACAATGTGTGTTGGGGCTAATTAAAGAGGTATGATCCACCTTCAGCACCCTGGAATAACCTCACATTGAAATATTAGACATAATAAAAGTAAAATATGTAGTTTTTATGTTATTGTGCCTTCATATCCTTAGAAACATTCATTAGATAGAAAAATAAGTTGCATCCATATTACTGACTACATGATTGGGCCTCCTTGCAGCACGGCATAGGGTTCATCATCCTGTGGTTCATGAAGCCCAGCTGGCTTTCATACTGTTTTATTGTGTTTGTCTTCCTATTGTCAACGCTGCATAGATTAGTGGTTGATCAAACACACTGACACCATGTTCAGGAAAGCTGGTGTTAGTTATTGGGCAGGTGAATCAAGTCCTACTGACAAATTACATCAGGATCTTTTCTTTAAAAAGAAGAAAGGATAAGGAGCTCTAAACTCTTTTGACCACTGATCAATAATCCATTTTTTCCTCCTGGTAGGGTGCCTCTGACTTTTTCCTTTTTAAAAAAACAGCTTAAAGAACCAAAGTGGCAGTTTTAGCTCATTTCCTGCACACGTGTGTGTGAGCTGACTGTTGAGGTAGTGCCTCCAGCTGCAGTCCACTCATTTGTTTCACCACCCAAAATCTTAAATTGACTTTTCTGTGTCTCTCTTACAAGGATGCTAATTTTTATTTTTATTTTTTCAGTGTTCCACACTTTTTCTTCTACTCAATATGTTAAGATGTATTTTTTAGCAATGCTCTTTTCTTTGTGGAGGAAGAAGATGAATATCTAATGGGTAATTAAGCCTTTATGAAAGTGTAGGTCAGCACCATATCTATTTAAATTGATTTTACATTGTATTAAAAAGTTCTGAGAAAGAAAAAAGTAAATTTTAATAGCCATAAGACCAAGTTATTGGAAACAATACATATTAAAACTTAAAATGCATCACGCTGTATTGTATTACCGTTCTATATCGCTTGTATTACTGAGTTTTACTACTGAAATAGTTTATTTATGTATATATACACTCACAGGCCACTTTATTAGGTACCCCATGCTAGTAACGGGTTGGACCCCCTTTTGCCTTCAGAACTGCCTCAATTCTTTGTGGCATAGATTCAACAAGGTGCTGGAAGCATTCCTCAGGGAGTTTGGTCCATATTGACATGATGGCATCACACAGTTGCCGCAGATTTGTCGGCTGTACATCCATGATGCGAATCTCCCGTTCCACCACATCCCAAAGATGCTCTATTGGATTGAGATCTGGTGACTGTGGAGGCCATTTGAGTACAGTGAACTCATTGTCATGTTCAAGAAACCAGTCTGAGATGATTCCAGCTTTATGACATGGCGCATTATCCTGCTGAAAGTAGCCATCAGAAGTTGGGTACATTGTGGTCATAAAGGGATGGACATGGTCAGCAACAATACTCAGGTAGGCTGTGGCGTTGCAACGATGCTCAATTGGTACCAAGGGGCCCAAAGAGTGCCAAGAAAATATTCCCCACACCATGACACCACCACCACCAGCCTGAACCGTTGATACAAGGCAGGATGGATCCATGCTTTCATGTTGTAGACGCCAAATTCTGACCCTACCATTCGAATGTCGCAGCAGAAATCGAGACTCATCAGACCAGGCAACGTTTTTCCAATCTTCTATTGTCCAATTTCGATGAGCTTGTGCAAATTGTAGCCTCAGTTTCCTGTTCTTAGCTGAAAGGAGTGGCACCCGGCGTGGTCTTCTGCTGCTGTAGCCCATCTGCCTCAAAGTTCGACGTACTGTGCGTTCAGAGATGCTCTTCTGCCCACCTTGGTTGTACCGAGTGGTTATTTGAGTCACTGTTGCCCTTCTATCAGCTCGAACCAGTCTGGCCATTCTCCTCTAACCTCTGGCATCAACAAGGCATTTCCGCCCACAGAACTGCAGCTCACTGGATGTTTTTTCTTTTTCGCACCATTCTCTGTAAACCCTAGAGATGGTTGTGCGTGAAAATCCCAGTAGATCAGCAGTTTCTGAAATACTCAGACCAGCCCTTCTGGCACCAACAATCATGCCACGTTCAAAGTCACTTAAATCACCTTTCTTCCCCATACTGATGCTCGGTTTGAACTGCAGGAGATTGTCTTGACCATGTCTACATGCCTAAATGCACTGAGTTGCCGCCATGTGATTGGCTGCTTAGAAATTAAGTGTTAACAAGCAGTTGGACAGGTGTACCTAATAAAGTGGCCGGTGAGTGTATAATATATTTTTATGTGTGTGTACTATTTCATCAAGATGTTTGTCCTTTTATGGATCAGATAAATTAAAAGTTATTTTTTTTCTTTTCTTCAGAGACAAAGGTCTCTTATCACAACTTAATCTTGCTCACCTCAAAACATTAGAATATGTTGTAATGGTGCAATATTTTTGCCAGTCATGTGAGAAAAGGAAGCTTTTTTTACTTTCTTAGACTTAGACAAACTTTGTCATTTTGTACACACATACAAATCAAAATTTCTTACAGCACGGCTCTCAAGACATTTCAATTTCTAAAGTGCAACAGTGGTAAAATGTAAACATGGTGATCAAATGTAAACATAGGACTGAGATATGATTTACAGTTTTTCCAACATTTAGCGCTTTTTTTATGTTATAGAGAATTATTACACACAAAGTAGAATATTTTAAACTATTATTCATTTTAATTTGAACAATTATGGTTAATGGGTAAAAAGTTCCAGGTATAGCATTTCTGTAACCATAACAGTCATCATTGCAGCAGCAACTGGGCAATGCTTTAATTACCGCCCTTATTATGTCCTGGAAGAGCTGGATGTATCTTTAAATCTATCGTTTAACCTTTCCCTCTCTAAGAGCTTTTTTTTTTCTTTTCTTAAAGTTATCTGACTATCTTAAACTATTCTGCTGACTCTGTTAGCAGGAAGTGCTCCTGTCCAGGGATTCTCAAAGTGGGGGGCGGGACCCCCTAGTGCAGGGGTAACCAATAAAAAATCAGCAGCGTCCGAATAAAGAAAATCATCAACTAGTTAAGGTCCGGAGTATTTTTTAATTATAATCTGTTACTTTAAACATAATTTAACACTGAAATAAAATTAGGTTTTAATGCATCGATGTTATACATTGCATTTTTAAATAAAAAAAAAAATAGAATATTTTTCCAATCTTTATTTAAAATCTAAAGTTTTTTTTTAAGTAGAGAACAACAATCGTTCAGTTTGGTATATAGACCATTTCCTGATTCACATATTTTGAATCTGAATCTAAATCTAAAAAACTGACCGTTTTTTTTTTTTCTTTTTTCTGGCTTAATGAGAGCATTGGGCTTTAGGCTGACCTGCAAGGCTTTAAACCTGGGTTTGATTGGCGACAAAGCCATTCTAAAGCACATATCAAGGTGCTCAATGGTGAGAGTGGATTGATATTTATTTTTGATTATGTTCATGGTAGAGAATCCTGCTTCACAGCAGTAGGTTGAACCAAACATACTCAAAATGTGCAGGGTCATCAAAAGTAATCAAAAAGTAAAAGTAATTTCCCTCTGGGATTATTAAAGTATTTCTGATTCTGATCTTTGAGACCATCATTTCCCTTTTCTTTCACAAGTTCACAGCGGTTCTTCCGCAAGTCCACACTTTCTCTGCTTTCATTTTCTCATCTTCTCCTTCTTTCCCATCGCCCAGCTTGCAAAAGGTTTGCCTGCTGTGTCTAAAAGTGTCTCGCAGCATCAGTGACCCACACTGACAGCTCAGTGCTAATTTGTATCACATGTAGCCTGGTCCCGACGCTCCGGAAGGCTTTACCACATTAACAGGAGAAGCGGAGCAAGTGAGGTTTGACACAGTCCTCGGAAAACATGCAGTAATTTCGAAATGTTTTAAATCTGGTTGGGTCCGGATCAGCCAGCAGGTGGGTCTGGATCCGGACCGTGGTCCGCTAATCCGTGTCCTCTGCCCAAGTGGGTGGCGTGACACCAAAATGGAGGTGCCGAGATATTTTTTTGCAATCACCGCGATTTGATTCTTGAGGCGTATGGAGGACTAAATATAGAATGACTAAATATAGAATGTAATTCATACATGTAAATATCCTATAAATGTACCATCAAATAAGAATATGTAACATTTATGTATTTATTCTAAACATGATTCAACAATTCAATTTTATTCGGTTTTAAAAGGAACAATAAAATGATCAAATCACCCATAAAATAAAAAGGCATGAATCAATAAATGTATTTAAAAATAAATAGAATTGCTTTACTTTCTATTTATATGAAAATATAGAATGAATTAATTCCATTTATTTTTAGGGGGTCATCAGTCTGTGGCAAAGGTATTTTGGAGGTGGAGGGGTGAACTCCTGCTCTAGTCTTTTCTAGCTGCGCTAACAGTGGAATAACTGACACTAAGTTCAAACTGAACAATGAGCAAGATGGATCCTTTTTCTCTCCATATTCTGGGACCTGGATTATCAAATGAAATGTAGGATTTAGTTCTGTCTGAAAACAGGACTTTGAACCATTGAACCACAGTCCTGTTCCTTCCCTCCTGACTTTGCCTCCATGTTTCCACATGTTTGTAATCCATATCAGGTACTTATCTGTTTGCTAGCTGTTGATGCAGCAACTTCAGCCTCAGTCCAATGCTGTAATGTGATTCTCTCTGCTTCTGGAGCACCTTCCTCAGTCTAAACTCTTTGCAGAGGTGTGAGTTAATTAACTAATGAATACATTTTTTACAGTCTAATTTTCTAAAACAGATTTCTTTTTAAATCTGGAAACCATAATCCTTAAAACTACAAGACAACAAAGGCTTGGCTATACCCTGCTATCTTTTAGGGATTCATTAAAATAATCTAGTTTCACTTTCTGAGATGACTGGAAAAAAGTATAGCATTTTTACACAGTATTTAAGTTTTTAAAGAGATACCTGTGTATCAGATTGTTAAATAAACCTGAGAAATTACAGTATGAGTTAATAGTTATGTTGACCTTTTATTAATTTATTTTCATCTAGTATATATTTGTTATATATTTAAGCCTATGGAGTTTTAGGAGTCTTACAAAACAAAAGATTTTATTTAAAAGTTGCTGCAACTCACCATAAATTTCTATCATGACATCATCCATGCCTGCTCAAAAACATGAATTCAATTATCTAAACAAAAATGATTTTTATATTTTTTTTTAAGGAATGGATACAGGAAAGTCAGCATTGTTTGCCCTCTGTATTGAAACATTTCACCAGCAGTGGCAGCTGTTATGTCTCAGTCTGTAGGAGCAGGGCTGCTCGCAAAAATCTGTTAATGCAGAAAATTTATGCAGAATCAGACAGCAGCTTTTAGGTGATGCTAAGTACAGAAGTTTGTCACCTTTTTTTACATTTCTACATGTCTTTTTTTTTTCTTTAAGGGCGTTTAACTTGAGCTTAGATCGTGGCAGGATTAGAAAAAGCTGGGGAACCACAACTCAGAAGTACCTTTGTTGCAAAAACACACTTAGCCTGGTGCCAAAACAAAGCCAGGGTCACAAACATCAAGTCAGGCAGAAACTGGATGGAGCATCCTGCATTAACATGGGGAGAAAATTCATGTTAGGAACAATTTATACATCGCTTAAAAAAAAAAAAAAAAAAAAAAGTCATAGTCGGATGAATTTATGTGGAGAGGTTCCTCTTCTATGAAGACAAGAAAACAAAGCCTTGTGGTACACCTGTGGTATCCAGTTTGACCTCAGACTGCAGCAGCTGCATTATCACTCTTTGTCTTTATCAAAGATTAATTCTTTATCCATTAAATCAATAAAATATTCAGTGGTTCATTAAGAATCAATAAAAAGCAGAATGTTGTTCTTGATGTTTTCTCACCCAGGTCGTTTTTTTACAAGACATAAACAGAAAACAGTTTTATTACACTTGGGACAGTCTTTCCCTTTTTATTTTTTTAAAGCTCTGTGTTGAGTAAAGATTTGGGTATTTTACCCCAAAAATTAAACATTTATTTCTGAATATATTGTCACAAAATTCAACCATGACTTCCCATCTAAGACAAAGCTCCATAAACAGCAACACTGTTCTTACATTAGATATCTAATGTCTGTTTGTATAATTTATGATTATACAAGGTCAGGGATCTTGTGGTTTGAAAAAACAACGTTGTGTTTGAAATAAATAGGTCCGGGACCTATAAAGTCAACAGGGTCGACAGAGGTTGTTAAAGACGTCATTGTTGGAGTCTGCCTTTTTTATTTATTTTTTTATTTTATTTATTTATTTTCTTATTTTCTCCTACTTGCTTTGATTCTGTTTTATTTTCCTATATTTTAATCATGCATTGTCTTTGTACTGAATTGTGCTATACAAATAAATTTGCCCTGCCTTGCCTTGCCTTATGATAAACACCATAATACTCAATGCTGAGATGACTGCATAGCCCTAATTTGTCGTTTCCAAAAACAATGAGACCAAAAATATTAGAAAATGGCCTCCAACTTTTGCACCATTTTACAATTTGTTATAATTATGGATGAAGGGCTGGACTATCTACACTAACTGTGGAATGTATATAAAAGAAAAAAAAAAGTATTTTAGTTTTACCATATGAACTCATTTTTTCTGAACTAAACTTTAGTATTTCTATATAGTTTGCTATAAGGGAAAAAGTTTTTAAACATGAAAAAGAACATATATTTTAAATCTTCTGATCACAAAGAAAGCATGTTGTTTATTTATCAAGTTGGAATGCTTATGCATTCCCACTTATTGTTTTGCTCTTTTCATTTTTCTGACTTTAACTAGTTTTATTTGGGATTAAACAATCATTATGCAACCCTTAACACTTCATAAGCAAATAAATAAATGTATATGACATTACTGTTTGTAATCCTTTCAGGAGATGATTGACGAAGCCGACCAGGATGGTGACGGAGAAGTCAGTGAGACAGAGTTTCTACGGATAATGAAGAAGACCAATCTCTACTAAAGAGTGTTACAATTTAAAAATGGGGCCTTTATATCTGGATCTTATCCCATAAATTTTTAAAGTAGCTGTTTAGGAACTAAGATATGTTTTCTTTGTAAATAAGTATTTTAATATACCTGATCTTTGTACAGATTTTTTTATTTTTTTACAAGACAAATAAAATATTTCATCAGTTATTTTTGTGTTTAAATTAATCTTGAAAAGTCAATTTTGGAAACTTCTGGAAACCAGAAGTTCACTGAGGTTTTTATTCAGAGGTGCTGAAACGTGGAAGCAGGTTTAAACTGCTTGTGAATATCTTAGTGAAAGTGATTTCAGTGCATTGCATTCACTGTGGTGCAACTTGCAGAGCACAGAGTGCCTATAATGGTCAGACAGGCAGGCAGACAGACATGACTAAGTTGATGTTGACTAATTCGAATTATGTTACTGTAAACAGAAATCAGCAGACTGAACCTGAGATGAGTAACTCAGTAAAAGTGAATCTCACTTCATGCCTTGAGCTGAACTCCGGTCGCCTGTACGAGACCTGTTTTAATTACATCTTTCGATCGCCTCATAGGAAAGATTCTCCTACTGATTAATTGTAACATAGAGCGGAAGTCAGGTTTTATCCAAAACAATCAACCTTGCTTAAATAAACAGGATATGTAATGACGTGTTTTTCCGAACCGTCAGGCGGTTGTCTATTATTTTGAGGATGCTTGCCACTGATTATGAAAGTTGTGATAACCTGTTCTAGACTGCGAGGGAGCCTCAGGTGGAAAATGTTAAAGCTTCTTTCTCAATATGAAATCCATTAATTGAAAAACATTCCATACATCAGATGCTTTTAAAAGTCTAATATTTTTTAAGGCCTGCTTTTATAGAATTTTTTTTTTTTTCTAAATGCAGTACTGTGAATAGTTCTTAACACATTTGTTATTTTCCTCTACAGCTTTTTCTTGAAAAGTAAAACCAAAATGGCTTAAAATGTATTTTTGTTTATAAAATAAACAAATCCAAAACATACAAACAAAAAAACACTACACTGTCTACTCGTTTTGGACCAAACTAAATTTCCATTTAAACTTCTGAGATGAAACCTGGAATTGCTTCAGATGAGCCATATCAAGAGGCCAGTTTTTACTAACTTCATCACATGAGCTTTCATGACTCAAATCCATCCACGGTGTTACAGTTCAAAGTCCTCCACTCAACAGGTGAGAGCTGAACTGTAGATCTCAGTTTAAGAGGACCAAGGAATTTCAAAGTGCCTCATTAAATCACATCCTAGTATTCTGGAAATCAAAAATGTTGCAAGAAGCTGACCTCCAGGAAGCATAGGAGGGTGCTCTGTCTCTTTTTAGTAAGACTTCCTTCGTTTTGCCCACACTTTGACAATTGTCTTCCTTAAATTAACAATAGCCTCTTATGTAAGTATCATAAACATTGGGATTTAAATGTTTATTAAACCAATCTTTGTCATAATGTACCGGTAACAATAAAACAGACAATTTTTTCCCATTGAGTGAACAACATGGTTAGCAAGCAACCACGGTTCTCTGTCGTCAATTCACATCGGGCTTTCTGGGCTTGTTAATATTGTTTCTTCAATTAATAGGGGAATTGTTAACTTAATGTTAATGTGTGGAGGATATTGTGCAAAGGGATACATCAGTTGTGATGCTGTCTGTAGCAGGATGCTCCACAACCTGCTGTCATATTTAAATGCCGGTACGATTGGAGAGACATCTAGTGCTCCTGTCCCTTTATTGAATTGAGAAAGCTTCCTGGAGAGGTGGTGAAACGTCTTCAAATCTTGGAAACCAAGTCCAGTGGATATTTTTTGAATTTTTACGGAATGACTATGACCTGGATGACTGAGAACCTTCATCAGCATCCTGTCCCTTCACAGACCTAACGTACCGCGCCTCCAGACCTGCACTGGACAGTTATTGTGCCATCGGTGGGCTGTGATTACTGGAGACCATCTTTCAACTGGCTGCTTTACAAATAAACTCATTGCTCCTCCAACCACTCCAATCCACCTAGCATATTAAAGTTAACCACAAAGTTAAATGTTTTAAAAGCTGCATCCTCCTTAAATTTACAACAGCATGGAAGATATCTCAGCCAATCACATTTAAGAATGGGAAATCATCCATTTCTGTAATAAAAGATGAAACCAAAGAAATGAACTGAAATGCAAAATTGTAATGTCAGCAGGGAAAAATCAACATATAAGATATTGACTGCTCATAATCTATTAACAGAAAGAAAATTACTCCATAATATAGTTTTATAATATCAGGATTATTTAATTAATCTGTTTTTAGTTTAATTATGAATAAAATAACAATCTGACTTTAAAAAAGCGAAAAGTTACTTTGGCTAGAAGGGACTAAGCTACTACTAATAAAACTGATTCCATTATAGATAATAATTTGAAGTAATTTCTATAAATTTTTTATGAAAACTGATCATTTGATGGCTTTGTTCTATTTTTTCTACTTTTAAATGTCAAAATAATTTAATTTGGATATTGGCGAATAGAATCATTTTAGATAAGCGCTTTAAAACAGGGCGCTGATCTTATATGGGTAGAGTGGTGGTGTTTGTCACGACATGGATGTTTGATTTTAGAACAAAACTTTCCAATAGGAGTTAGATGTTTTTGTACAGTGGAGGTTTCATGGCCTTTAATATCTTCACAGCCCCTCAGCCGGCTGTTATTCCCCTTCTGCTGTGGTTTAACAACATTCACATTTCACAGCCCGTTCAGAACTCCCACTGATCCGCCGCTTCTTTTTTTTTTTTTCCTTTTCCAATAAAATGATCAATTTCCAAAACAACTAAGCGCTGCAAGTCTGGTCACTGCTGGTAAATGAAAGAAAAGTCGATTAACTCTTAAATGTCAAGAATGTGTCACAAGTATGTGGGCAACCTATTTACAGGGTCCCGTCTGAGAATAAGAGAAGTTCAAGACAAAGTAATAACTGCCATTGTGTCTTGGAGAAGCAAGGGTTGACTGCTGCAGTGGTATGTTTGCCGTTTCAATCTTAACTTATACATTTAATCTGTAGAACTGAGGAAAAATAGGGAACATTATATATATATATGTATATCCTGTATAAAGTTTGAGGTAGAAGTCAGCTCTGAATTTCATTTAAAGCTGTGGCTTCTAATGTTTAAAGATCTCAGCAATGTTTTTTTTGGTTTGTGTTTTTTTAAGCTAAAAATCAAGAATTAAGTCCCTTATTTTTATGCTTTCATTTATCTGTACCTCTCATCTTATCCAGAACAATCAGAGAAAAATAAACGTTTTAAAAACCTTTAATGACTTTGAAGATGTTGCTTCCCGTGTGCCTTAAGAGGCGTTATTCAAACCTTTCTTTTGCTCCTTCTGCACACCTGAGGAAGATGGAAAAAAAGAACACATTTTGGGGGCTGAACTGTTAAGGGAAATCTGTTTCCACCCATTGACCAATCACATTTGCATTTTTAGGTAGTTCAAAGTTATATGATAGGAAAAAAATTTTATCCACATCTCTGTTGTTTTTGCTGAATTAATTTAAACAAAATTAAATAATATAATTATGTTTTAGATGCAAGTTGTAAAACTGCAAAGGAAACAAAAAAAGTTGAGGCCATTTTTGTTTGAAATTCAAAATAAAATTTCTGAACAACCCCGAAATCCTTCAGCTTTTTTGGCTTATATTTAGCTTTGCTAATTTGCAAAGTGTTTCAAAACACCGAACCCATCGAAGGTAACCCCAATGGAAGGAAGCCTTTCTTACATTTGTTATTTTTTTTGCAAATAATCTTAAAGTGCGGCATGCATTTGTTTTCTGGTCTCCTGAATAACTGCTAGCTGTGGGTTTAAGTCCATGCTGTTGCTAGATGCTCATGTCTTGTGCATGTAACAAATACTTTACAAACCTGCACGATATTCAGCCCTCTTCCCTCTGCCTGCTAGAGCGAGGTAGTTTTTGTTTAATCTTCCCATGTTGCATCTAAGCAAAAACACTTTGTTCTCTTCTGTCTGAAGCTTATTTTTCCACATTTGCTGCATCTCCTCCATCATTTAAATTTAAACTAGATTATCTTTGTATCACTTTTTCATAGATGTCCAATTTGTGGCAAATAGTTTTTCTTCTTTATAGCTCCTATCACCTGAGCTGTGGAGCTCTGCAGCTCCCACTGAGATAACATGGGTAGCTTGATGTCTTCTCTGATTTTCGCTCCTTCCCATCAAGGTTCAGCTGGACAACCATGTCCTGCCATACTTTTTATTTGAATATGAAAAACTCTAAACTTCAAAGCTCAAAATATTGTTTTAAAACCTAATCCCTATTTTACTTAACTTTGCCACTAACCTTTGTGCTGTGTTCCTTAGTATTCATCATTTAAACTTATTTTAATCCTTCAAGCCTTTACAGTATAGTTTCATTTTAATCGAGGTTATATCAGCCGTGTTAAGGAGGCTTAACACTTTCACCATCATGCACCAACCTGTGTTTTTCTCTTTAACATAAAATCCTTTTTTCTAATTACAATCCATGCAAGGTCATGGTGGGGGACGGTGAAAGTCTAGACGGGTCGCCATTTCATCATTTTTTTTATAGGCCTAAATTATAACATGTGGTTTAAAGGCCATTTACAAACAAACAAATAAAAAAACACCGACAAAAATAAAACAATAAAAGACAAATCGAATTGTACAGACTGAGTTAAAATTACATTTCAGCTGATTCTGGTGAGAAAAAAATAAATTTTGTTTGTTTTCAAGCTGCTTAGAAGGAATTCTATATAAGGTAACAAGACACAGAATTCACTACCCCTGGATGAGCAGGTAGCAACAAGGTATAATCATTTTCATTGTCTTTGACTTTACAGCAATCCCTCATACCAAGTATCCATGTAGCGACAGTGGAGAGAAAAAATTACCCATTGACAGGAAGAAATCTTCAGAAGAATCTGAACTGAGATTAAAGCTGATTCATAACTCACAAGAAGTGTTTTCTTAATCCCACAGCTTGCAGCCTTTTCTCAGGGGTTCTTGCCTCTTGTTCTCGACGTTGGATGTGTAGAACCTTTTTTCACAGCATATGTCTTTTAAGAAAAGTTATGTGAATGGTCAGTGATTTGGATAAGCATTGTTTTGGGATTATGTTATGCTTGTG